TGTATCGGTCAGGATGATAAGCACAAATTAGAAAGAATCAGTCGCCATAATTAATTTAGGTATTCTTTATTTCAGGACATCAGCCAGGATGACCTAAACATCGGCCTGGACTATGCAACACAATTATGCTTAAATTAATCTGGTAATTATGGAAAGCAATTAAGACTGATTGATACAATCACATCGGCCAGGCCGATCACAGGATCAACCGGACGATGTCCCAGATGATTGACATCGGCCAGACTCTATTCCAGGCAATGTTCACGACGATTGTACTCGGATTTGAACTAATAGGCCAAGATGATATTGTATCGGCCTGGACGATGTAACCAATTTTCTTTTGATTGTCCCAAATCGTCCTGGCTGATTGAGCTTATTTTGTACTAATCAACCAGGATGATATTCCCATCGTCCTGGACGACAATGCCGATTCTTGAAATTCTATTTAAAGGACCCAAATTTTCTCATGTAAAGAGACCTTTAGCTGCTGTCTTGACCTAAGTGAACCAAGAGGAGAGGGACAGAGAGGGAGAGAGAGAGGGAGGAACTTGTGAGGGGGAGTTTGTGAGAGGAATTCATAAAGGTTGGTCCAAGCAAGGTTCCAAGGAGTCTTTTCCAGTCTTCGTCCTTCGTCCTTGGGGGTTCAAGGGAGGTAAGCTTCAACAATTAGTCGAGGTTCTCTGCCTGCTTCAGGAGGATGCAAAAGGAGTTGGGTTCTCTGCCTGCTTCAAAAGGAAGCAAAAGGAGTTGGGTTCTCTGCCTGCTTCAGGAGGAAGTAAAAGGAGTTGGGTTCTCTGCCTTACCAGGGTTGGCGGAAAGGAGTTTTTATGAGGGCTTATCCGCCTTGTTGTGGGAGCAAAATGAGAGTCACTTTCGTAGTGCAATACTCGGAGGGCGCCTCTGGGGAGTGGACGTAGGTCGAGTTGACCGAAGCACTATAAATCTGGTGTGATCTTTCTTTGTTTTAATTTTCGCATTTATTTTTCCGCACTTTAATTTCTGTGGTGATTTTGGTTTTAAGTTTTTGTGCTTTGATTGTTTAAGAAAGATTTTTTAAAATACCAATTCCCCTCCTTTTGGTTAGCCTCGAGCTAGTTCTTGAGGGCTTAATATCCCTAATGAACTTTCACTTTCATAAGTGAGTCAGGCTAGCTCAAACTATATTTATTAACAAGATCACGAGTTGATCTTACCGAGCCATGAGTTTGAGCTCGAGCTCAGTCTAGCTCAGCTCAAAAGCTCGTTGAACCTCTCGACTCTTGTTAAGGGATTTCTTTGGACGACAACATTTCTTCTATAACCTATTTTTTAAAATTTGGACTATATTGATGATTTGACTAATATTTTTAAGGGCACAAAAAAAAAAGAAAAAAAAGAAATAAAGCTTACTCTCCATTCATTGCTTGATCTGCCCTCTATGGAGGGAGAAAAAATAATCATAAGTTTGGAAATGACATTGCTAGCACATTATCATTTTGGCCAAAGTTAAATGGCTATTAAAAACAAAATTTATACATTAGAGGCATCAAAACACACTATAGGCTATTTTCACTAAGGGGCTGTTTGGTTTGAAGAATTAGGAGGGTAAAGTAATGTATTTACCCGCATTTAGTAAATTATGTTGTTTGGTTAGTTTTGAGCGGAAAGTAAGGAATTCATCTGATGCATCAGTGGTGTATTACTAAAGCCATTTCGTGCGACTTCGAAACCGGCTCAAATTGAGCGGGTTAGAAATCCTCTCGGCGTCAAGGATGCTGCCGGCATTTAGCGCTTCCCTCTCTATTAGGAAGGCGTAGTTTGTGTTGAGGCAGAGAGGATTTCTGACCAGAGAAATCCTCGCAGTTTCCTCACAGATTTTTTCTCTTGGCGTTCAGTCTGCAGTTTCCTCACCACCTTACCTAAAATATTCATCAACATGGGTGTCTTGTCTGGCTTCATCTCCAACTTCCCTTTCTCTCGTCTGCTGGAACATATTAGCTGGCCCGTGATGTTCCTTGTCGGAGGCAGTCCTCCAATCATAATCTTCGCTGGCGTCCTCATCGTGATGCCGGAGTCTCCTCGCTGGCTTGTGATGCAGGGCCGCCTTGAAGAAGCAGCCGTAGTTCTCGCCAAGACCTCCGACTCCCCCTAAGTAAGTATATCGGGGGCTTTCTTCCTCGATGCTGGGCACTTTGAGCATTTTTGCTTTGTCTGTTATTATTTGTGTGTTTTGGTAACTCGAGCATTAAATCATTTTATGACTTTGGTTTAGTGCACGATGAAAAGAAATGCATTCCAACCTATTTCACATGTATTTTTTTTTTTTTGGATATAGGAAGCCATAAGTGATCACTGATTATGATTGCTGTTAGTTTCTAGCGATGGCTTTGAAACAATTGCTCTCAAGCAGCATTTTGGAAAGAAACTTATGGAACTTGAGGATGAAAAAAGATCTGTTCAGGTTAATTATTGAAATATGGTCTTATTTGGTCTTGGAATCTATGTGTTCTCTTTTCTTTTTAAAACTAAGCTCACTCTTATTAAAATATTTCAGCTAGAAAGGGATCGGTTATTGGCCGAAGTTGAAAGCCTCGCTGATGGACATTTACACAAGTTTATAGATATACACTCACAGAAGTTAAAGTCACTTGAAGCTCAGGTAAAATAAATAGAGATTTGGGTGTTTTTTTATGATGATATCTTCTAACGTCTAGTGGCTGCAATTTGTTTTTTTACCTTTTTTTTAATATAATGGATCTTAAGAAAACACAAGAGAACCAGGTCCAGCTTGTAAACTAAGGACATTTGTATTTTTACCTATTTTTTTCGCATGTATATTACCTACAAACAGATGAATGTTATGTCTCTTTTTGTTTCTATTTTTGAAAGCATCTTAGGACAGTGCTACAAAGAAATTTTTGGGAAATGTTTTGAATATTTTTTTTTTTGAAATTTTAGAGCATAGCTGCTGTTATCCCTGTGGATGACATTGCTGTACAACCAAATCTTGTTAAAATGTGCTGTTCATCTTAGAAAAAGACAAACATGGGAAAGTAAATTACTAAATTTGTTCCGAAAATCTTATCTGAGGTAAAATTATACTGTAATATTGTCTTACTTCTAGTATTCGGTTGCTTTTAGTTTCAATAATTCACTTTATAAAAATCTGAAAAACTTCGTTGGGACATTTTTTTTTTTGTTTTCTAAAACAGCTTTTTAGTACAAAAATATCTTAAATTAGAAAACTTTATTCTAAAAAATCATTTTAAAAAGTAGCACTAAAGCTGTACCAAACGAAACCTAAACCAGTTGCTTTTAGTTTCAAAGTTCAAACTCCTATGAGCTATGGTAGAGTACAAGACCTTAGCAAATACATAAGTCTGCTTTTTTCACTAGTTGCTTTTAGTTTCAAAGTTCACTTTCTCAGCTACTCTGCTATGCTTCTCTTGTGTTTCTCTTGTTTCAATTTGATTGTAGGTCTTAGCTGAATGAAAACAAGCATCTTCATTTCTGACATTGCAAGTTGTCCATGCAGTGGTTATGTTGGACTTTATGCAGTTCTGCTGTTTTGCTTGTTTATGCATGCCTTCAGAATGATCATGTAGATATTGATTGTTTCATTAAAAATTATTATAATTTGTTGTGATAATTGTGTAATTTTATTGGGGTGGTAATATGAAGTCTTAGGTCGTATGTATGAATGGAATTTTTGTTGATATATGTAAATGCAGCCTACAAGATTGACTTGAAACTGATTTTTCTTATCCTTGTTCACTATTAATGGTATTTTTCCTATCACGTGATTGAATTTTATGCTTGTTAACATAGACGGCACATGATTCTGGAGAACAATGTCCTACTGACATGGAGTTTGAAACCGAACAAGAGGTTTAAAAAATCCCATTTTTGTTGTTTGGCTGGATTTAGGTCATATTCTTCTTAGAAACGAAATTTAAGATCCCAAAGTATTTTTTCTAGGCTATTTATTTTGGGTATTGTTATTAAATCTTTTTGTATCCTTCTCATGATGATAATGACCAAATGCTAATGATGATGATGATCATTGGAAGCACTCCTCTTAGATGTTCTCAAAGCAAAATTAGGCCCATAGTAAGGAGATTTTGTGCTACTTTTTGTTGTCATGCCTCACTTTATAAAGGTTCTATGTGGTGAAATAATTTATCTCTACCATAATATTTGAAATTGGGCTTGTTTGAAATAATAAGGTCATGCATCATCCCCTCTTTTATGGAGTTTTCTATAAAATTTATGTACATGTGATAAAGTTTTGTGGCTCTGGGAAGTGATGTATCTTGAAGATGTGTAATATCATAATTAGTTGCTATGAAAAAAAAATGTAACTACATTATAGTAAAAAAACTTTATAATTTTTAGAAAAAAATATGTTTTTAGTACTCGCTCAGCAGAAAATTAAAGAAAGAAATCAGTGTGAAAATTTAATTAAATGAATTTTTTTTTGTAAAAACATTACTTGAAAAATAAAATATTTAAACTTTCACAAAATTAAACTTAATTTATGTCTATCACAAATATATTTACGTTTATTGCAGCACACTGGTAAATTAATACACAACAAAATATTATATCTTATAATCTCAAAAAAATTTATAATAAGATAGTGCAATAAATAAATACACTGGTTTTACTTTATAACATTAAATAATACTAATTATTATAAATACACTGTTTTTATAAATATACTAGTTGTAATGCCCTAAATAAATTATTACAAATACACAATTTTTACTTTACTCTGAATATATCTAACCAAACAAAGGAACAGTTCTCCTGCGTTTATTTTACAGACAACCAAACAGTAACAAAGTATTCGAAATACAATACATTTATTTAACATTGCATTTATTTTACACTGCATTTCTTTTAAGGCAACCAAACAACCCCTAAATACTTCCTATAATGGTTTAGATGGACTTGAGCTTTTTTGTTCACCGTACTACTCGTCTGGCCATTTCCCACGAATTTGATATATTTGGGTGGCCAATTGCCCTGCGGTGTTCTCGTTCTAAGCCGAAATCACCGTTCCTGCGGAGAGAAATGGACGAGCACGAGTTCCGACGAATCCTCGACCTCTTTCAAGTCGTTCGATCTGGAGACTATTGCGTAATTTGCTCACATCTTCTCTCAACTGCCCGTAGATTTACCGTATTTTTCGCCGATTTATGTTATTTTTAATTCTTTCTCAGCTGTTGTGACGCTGCTTCTCTTGTTTTCCGATTTATACTGTACCCTTTAGAGACAGATCGAGTGAAAGGTTAATTGACATAGCGATCTGGAAACAAAAGAAAAGACGTTTGATTTTTAAGTTTGTATTTGTTTATTTATGCTATTCTAATTTAGCGCTATTTTTACATGCCTAATATTATTTACATCCCGCATTTTTTAAGCTTCTTTCATTACTTGGAGATGTGAAACATTTACAAATTGTGATGATGAATTGTATGCATATTCTTTAATATGTTCAACCATGGTTGGATTCTGTATGAAGATCCAATCATCCAAAGTCTGCGGATTTCTCTTGGAAAATATCAGGGGATTTAATTTTCCGTGCAAATGATAGGGCTGTAGGAATCAGACTATGATACTGGCTGAAAATAGCTTCTTATTCAACGAGTTTAATGACCAACTGGAAAACATCATATCATTGTAATCATTGTATTCTTTAAGAGGAAATTTCTCTGCCGGAGCTATGCTAACGACTTCTTTTTTTTTTAACAAGAAATTTTGGAAGTAGCGCTAATGATTGCTTTTATACAGTCACCATTGCTTTTCTGATCAGTTGCCCCTTGTTTGATGACTTGATTTGGGGGAAATTAGTTCTGCTTATCTGTTTCTGTTAGAATTTTGTGTATCAGATTTGTTATTCCAAATCTAGGCCTTTGTTAAAGCGGAGTTAAAAGAAGAAAGTTTGCTCTGCTCTGTTTACATTTGGCTCGCTAAGAAATTATTAAGCGTGAGCTCAATGGTTTAGTTATTTGATTGCAAGGTATACGAATTTCAAGATTTAGTGGAATCTAGCTAGTTTGTGTGAAGTAGATGAGTTTGAGTTTTTAAATAAGCAGTCAAATGAATCTGTTGCTATAAAAAAGCTTACTACTAAAATGTTTGGAAATAAATTTTGAGAAGCATGCAGTCATATGGCAGAAAGACTAACTGAATATATAAAGTTACTTGAGCATGTGGGCTAGATTTAAGGTGATGAGAATGGAAGAGAAGCTTGTCCAGCAACTGAAAGAACAACAAACTGACCTCGAAGTACTAAAATTTCCGTGTATCTTTTCTTTGATTTCATTATGATGGCATTTGTTCTTATAATTATATCAGCTTTTTTGCTTGGCTGACTTTGTTCTAGGCCTCAAAAGGATGATTTTCTTTTTTAAAAGGAGGTTGCTCATCAACTGGGATTACCTCTGTTTGAACCGTCTGTTTGAATTTGTTGTACATAAAGAATTATGATTGAAAGGTAGTTTATCCAGTAATATGTTATTCAACTAGCATATTTTTTCACATGTATCCTTGTTTTAACATCTGGTTTGCTCCTCATAATTTGATGGGCGTATATCACTATATCAACTGCCTTGATAGCACTTTCCTTTTAAGAATATCTAAGTTGACTTATATGTATTCTACAGTGTGAATGTAATCATATTGGCTTTGTCTTATCTCAATGCATAATGCTCTGTATTTTGGGAGTATTTCTATTAACTTAGGAAAAGTGGCATTTTCCTTGTATTCATCATGTATTGTGAAATCTTCTGTATTTTTTCCACTTTCTTACCACTTAAAGAAGTACTTCCTTGATTGGCTTTTAGGCATCATTCATCTAACAAGTTTCTTATGTTTTCACTCTTATCATTCAGCCTTTCTTATTTCTAAGCCCTAGGATTGAATTGCATATTTACATTTCAGATTACTATGCTGGTTCAATTAAATCGCGTGCATGCCTGATAGGATCATATATATGATTAGTTTAGGCAGGAAAAACCTAGACAACATGTGTTATAAAAAGGTTGTATATATGATTTTTCAGCCCAAGGCTAATCATTATGGTGCATCCCTTCATATATACATTTGAACAGAAGTTTAATCCAATAACAGTAACATAGGAATGAATCATAGAATTTAAGCATTTGGATCAATAAGCTCTAGTTTTTTCTTAATTGATTCAAATCTGTCTCAATGCATGCCATTAATAAGATGTATCTATGACATTTAATAAATCCATAAAACTTATGAAATATGTCCAATATGAACATTTAATGCTAACGTAAATCATACAACAGACATGGCTAATTTTAATAGACAAATATCAATACAACGACAACATTAAGCCTTTGTCCCACTACGCGGGGTCGGCTACATGAATCCTTTTTCTTCATTGTGTCATGTTAAAAGTCAAATTCTTGTTTAAATCTAATAAAGAAAGATTATTTATAATATTTTCTAACCATGTCTTTTTAGGTCTATCTCTACATTTCTTAACATAAGTCACATCTAATACCTCTACTTCCTAATCGGGTCATCAGAAGGTTGTCATTTTATGTGACCAAACCATCTAATACTACTCTCTCTAATCTTATCTTCCACTGGTGCTATTCCAACCTTTTATCTTATATGCTCGTTTTCTTATCCTATCTCTAAGAGTAAAACCCCTCATCCACCTGAGCGTCCTCATCTCTGCAACACTTAACTTAGTATTATGCTTTTCTTTTAATGGCCAACATTTGGTAAAATAATGCATTGCAGATCTCATGGTTTAAAATTGCGCAATATGAGGCTCGCCTTGAGGCCTGCCTTTGCGTAATTCCAGTAAAAAACGCCTCAATGCTTACGCCTTCAGTTTTTTTATGAGGCTTGCGCCTCAACTTGGTTGAGGCCCGCCTCGCCTTACTGGCATGAGGCTTACGCCTCACGCTATATATATTAAAACTTACATAAATCTTGAAGTATTTTTTGGAAATTGGAATTATATGTTAATGAAAATAATATTGGGATTTGGGAAAGATAGAATTTTGAGTTAAACTATATTCATGTTGTCTTATTATTGGGATATTTTGATTTCATTTCATATCTTATGATGTTTAATGTTTTATATTATTCATTCATTAGTATATAAAAAATTTATCATTTTATGTTTACACAATCTTTTGATTTTGAGGCTTACGCCTCAAAACGCCTTGAGGCTTACGCCTCGCCTCACGAATGAAAAATACCTCAATACCCGAATACGTAATTTTAAACATTGGCAGATCTCACCACCATCTTATAGAATTTTCCCTTAAGTTTCAGGGGGACTTTTCTATCACACAACAAACCCGATGCATTCCTCCACTTCAATCATCCAACTTGAAATCTGTTGATAATATCCGCATCAATTTCACTATCATTCTGAACAATAGATTCAAGATATATAAAATGTGTACTCTTATTAATGACTTGATCACCCAAAGTCACAGTCCCCTCACTAGGTCTATTACTACTAAAATTACACTCCATATATTATGTTTTAGCTCTACTCACGCGAAAACCTTTAGACTCTAAGGTTGACCTCCATAATTCAAGTTTACCTTCAACTCCCTCTCTAGTTTTATCAACTAGCAGAATATCATCAGCAAAAAACATACACCAAGGTACATCTTCTTGCAAATTTCTAGTGAGAACATCCATGACTAAAGCAAAAATATATGGGCTTAAGGCTGATCCTTGATGTAATCCAATCGAAATAGGAAAATATTTAGTTAAACCAGCTTGTGTTTGAACACAAGTAATAGCTCCTGCATACATATCTTTAATGATTTGAATATACATGTTATTAACTCCTTTCTTTTCAAGAACTCTTCATAGCACTTCTATTGGAACTTTATCATATGCTTTCTTTAAATCAATAAATATCATATGTAGATCCTCCTTATTCTCTCTATATTTCTCCATCAAATCTCTCAATAAATGTTTGACTTCCATAGTAGACCTACCCGGCATGAATCCAAATTTATTTTGAGAAACATTAGTATCAGGCTGCAATGTACGCTCTATAACTCGCTCCCATAGTTTTAAAGTATGACACATTAACTTAATTCCTCTATAATTCACACAATCTTGTGCATCACCTTTATTCTTAAAAATGAGAATTAACACACTCATTCTCCATTTATCTGACATCTTTTTAGTCTTCAAAACAATATTAAAAGGTTTAGTAAGGTAAGAAATTCCTTCATCTCCTAAGCATTTCCACACATCTATTGGAATATCATCAGGTCCAACTGCTTTTCCACACTACCATTTTCTTTAAAGCATCTCTAACTTCGATTTTACTAATATGCTAATAAAAACAGAAATCGTTATTTTCATTTAGGGTGCTAAGGTCACTAAAGTCGATTGTATTTTCGCATTCTTCATTAAAAAGTTTAGCAAAATATCTCATCCACCTTTGTTCAATATCATTTTCTAAGAAAAGTACTTTTTGATCTTTATCCTTAATACAGTTCATTTGAACTAAATCTTTACTACTCCTATCTCTTTGTTTGGCTAACTTCTACATATATCTTTCTCCATCCTTAGTATCTAATCTATTATATGAATTATTAAAAGCTAAGATCTTTGTATCGCATATTGCTTTCTTAGTTTCCTTAACGCGACTCTTTATATCTTTTTCAATTATCAGAATTTTTTACATCTAAACAAATTTTTATAACAAATATTCTTATTTTTTTTATCTTTTCTTACATAATTGGTTTTCACCACCAACTATTTTTACTATTAGGAGCTTTTCCATTTGATACTTCAAGCACATCTTTTGCAATATTTTTAATATCACTAGTTATTTTTCCCATATAATATTAGCATCTTCATGCATAGAAAAAATCTTAAGATATAAAACCTTGCTCTTAAAAATATTTTTGTTAATATATTTTAAATATCCCATTCTAATCTTAGAATATCATTTTATTTTATTTTTTATTTTCTATCCATTTATCTTAAAGTCCAAAACTAATAATCGATGTTGGATAAATAAATTTTCATTCGGAATAACTTGATAATCTTTGTAATCTAAACGATATAATTTTCTTATAAGAAAATTAATTTGAGTTTTACTATATCCATTT